TACAGGAAATCTACAACGGTGAACGGAAGATGGGCGATCGAAATAGTGTTCTACGGGGGATCAAACCAACTGTACGTTAATTTGTGGGGGTACAAGAGTACTTGCGGTGCACCGGTCACCAAGCAGCCACTGACAACGCTCTCATTTAGGACTTTTCTCATGTTCGCAAAACGGCCGAGACATTCCTCGGTCGTAACCGCTCACGAACAGGTCAATACCCCCCGGGCGCAAAACCTGGAAGCAAGCCGCAGTCTATCATACCGGCGCCGTCTGCCGGCCTTCCTCAACCCCGGAAGGGCAGCTCCAAAACACAGGATCCGATCATTCTACTTTCACCGTCGGCTTCGTCTCTCATCCGCATGTCAAATGTACGGTCGTTCCTCCAAGATGGTGTCTTTGTACCTCCCGACCACCCCACCCTCTCCATGCCCAGTTCCAACATTCTGTATATATCTCGCCCACTGCGCATCCTTTCTGACCCATCCAACACAACATCCCGTGCTGTCGGCTCCCAAAATGCAACCAGAAAACCGACTAGGTTCATCCTTGTCGACAGCACAGCCAATTTCAGACCAGACTACTGGAATCGACTCGTTGCCGTCTTCACAACCGGCCAAACCTGGCAATTCAAGTCCTACAAGTGGTCCTCCCCACCAGAACTCTTCAAGCACGCGTCCGGCATCCACGTCGGCTGGCGCGGCGAAGGGGTCCCGCGCGAAGTCCGCGGTTGGGGCCGTGGCGTTCAAAGCTTCTCTGTCGAGCGATGGGACGAAAAGGGCGGCGTTAACGGTGCAGGACGGTGGCGAGATCGCGAAGTAGTTGAGGGCATCTGGACTGCGATCGAAGAGGGCATGAAACAAAGAGGCTGGGGCAACAAATGATCTCCGATTCTCCCTCCTTCTAAACCAAACGTCAACTCCTTGAATAGATTCCAACCCGCATCAAATACATCCATCCGGCTACTCGACTTTAGGTCAGATGGCCCAGCCGCATTCGCCTGAGGCTGGTTTGAACTAACTATAACTCCATTCCGTAAACACGGCATATATGAATCAACGAATGCTCTTGGGATGGATATCGCAGATGCACTGTCATAACAGCGTCACGGCCTTTGTCATCTCTACTCGCCTTCGATAGTTCACATTCGCCGTCTTTATGCGTCAAATCCATGAATTAGTCCGTCATGTTCCCATAGAACCTATTCTGGTCCTATTGTGTTCATTTTGTTACTGGGCCTGTTTCTTCTTTTCTTTTTGATAAAACGATGGATGAGCTAGTTGTGTTATCTATTTTTTTATCATTTTTTTTACTTCTCTTTTTTATCTGTCAAATTTGTGGATGCACGAAGGGCGTGCAGGAGTTTTCTAAAGCTTTGTTATTTACCATCGTGATGATTTTAAATACCATACGCGGATAGTCTTGTTCCGCTAATTACATCTATAGTTGATACGTTCATCGGGGATGCGCACTTTGCTACATTCATCGATTGCTTTGTTGTTACACGTGGTTGCCATGTGGTCTTGGGGCCGAAACTGCACCACGTGATGGAAGAATCAGATCATCAAGGTATCGGGCTCTCATATTTTTTTTTTTTTTTTTTGCTTTGCATATCGAGGGACGATCCATGTAGTAGTGACATAAAGTAGGGGAATGACAAATGAAAAGCCATAATCGCTGAGTCCTTGAAAATGCAATCAATACGCAGAACAATGCTGAATGCCGACGGTATGACAGCATATACATCAACTCTTGAACAAGGATAATGCAGGTCGAAGGAAGAAGAGGAAAATACTAGACAATATAGTAAAGACGTAAGAGGAAACTGACAAATCTCTAAAAGGCCACACGTGTATGCCAAAAAGCCAAATCAAAGGTTGAAAGAAAAAGAAACGCCTCTCTAATGCTGGAAAACTTTCGTGTCTCAGCCTTCCTCACGATTTCTTCACACTGGTCAGAAATCACAAATGAAAATAAAAAAGCAAAAACATGGGAAACCGGGTAAATATAAATATTGGAAGACCATCAATGTGGTTCATCTCTATCACATGATCCATCGAGATCGTAACATCTTTCATGGGTCGTGATAACTTTGATTACAAAGGAAAATCATACCGCCGAAGTGGAACGGCTCAAAGGTGTATTTGGTTCCGGTAAAGGGAAAATAAAGGTAGAACCGGAGTGTTCATGTCAAGGTGTAGTGGACAAGCGAAGGAACCGCTGGAGCGGTGTTGGGAGTTCTGACATTGTCAAAGTGTCGTGAACCGGAGTCATATACGTATGATCAGACTCTTCGGCTGTGGAACGCCAAGTTTAGGCCCTTCCTTGCGTACTGTACCACCGCAGGGTAGGGTAGTTCGGCTCAAAATCGTAATTCCAAATCGACCGCGAGGTACACGGTATAATCAGTCTATTGTCATGACCGAGCCGAGCGACTCATCGAGCGTTCGGGAACGTTGGCTGGTGTTGGCGAATAAGATCTTGTGGCGCCGATCAACTCGACATCATGCTCCTGAAGGATATGGGCGTACTTAGGGTCGCGCAAAAACTTCGGGATCGAATCCTGTAAGAGGTTAGAGATCAAATCGCAGAACTCTCCAGGCGTCGGGAAGATACTCACACTTGACATCAACTTGAAAACAGAAGTCTGCGCCATCTCAAACAAATGCACAACTTCCTGGAGACTCTTGAACATTGATTCGTCATCCCCTACAGCCTTGGTCATGCGACTGGCCAAGCTGTTGCGCAGTGCGTGGTCAATATTGAGCTCGCAGGGAGAACCGGGAGCCAGGAAGGCGTTATAAAGACCTTTTAAACAGTCAGTATGGGTTGCACTTGAAGTGAGACGAGAACTGAGAGCTTACCATATGCTGCAGCCAGGGTCTCACGAACAGAGTCAGACTTCTTGAATGTGCCAACCTTCTCCGCCTTGTGATAAGTTGCAGTAAACTCGGAAACATCCAAGTAGAAGGACAAATTCTCCTCACACAAAGAATAGCGGAGGAATTCACGGAAAAGAAGTCTCAAAGCAGGATCATGGAGAATGTGGTTCAATCGAGCGTTGTTCGAATCCTTTGGAATACCGCGGCTGTCGTATGCCGTAGTCTCACGAGACTTGTCCCGTGCTATCCATCCACAAACCCGCTGGCCTCGTTCCGTAATGCCATAGATTGCGTTCTTGGAGGGTTGAAATCCAACTATCGAGTTGTCCGGCAGAGGCATCAGCTTATCCTCCTGCAACATTGTAATCATTCCATATTTGACGAACAGCTCAGCAATGAGAACAGTTTCTCGGCGTTCGATGGTAGTCGAACAGTCCATCAGCCAATCCACCGCGGCTTTTCCAGTGAAGGTGTTGATAACAATCTTGTCGTTGATTTTACGCTCCTTGGCCATCTTTACTCCAACCAGACCATTCGAATAATCGCTCAGTGAATCCGAGTCGGAGGTGGAAATGCTGCTCTTGACATTGGGTCCATCTTGGCCAGCAAACCGGCGAAAAATGACCTCAATAGTGGCACGATCATGGGATAGTTTATCGGTCTCGGAATCGCGCTCCAGGTTGACAAGTTGCATTGTATTACGAGGAGATTCCAGCACATCAATCACATGGCGTGCAGTGATACCATTCCTCTGGCAAAATCTTTGCAAGATATTGATTCCTTTAGGAGTAAGTTGATACAAAGCACCCTTCAATGGGAAAAATTGAGAAGCCTTGCCATCAACAGACTCAATGAACCTCGCGTCGACAAACCGTTGGCACACTGAGCGGGCCATTTCCTTGGCCATGGAGAACGTGGTTGTCGTAGTGGTCGTAACAATACGAGAAGGATCCTTGGGGTCTGGCATGCGGTTTGACTGGGAAAATTTGAGGGATCCAAGATTGTTGATTGCTTCTTCAGACGTGAATGAGTGGTCGTACCTCGTAAATCGTACGCGATGCGAATCCAGTTTCAAGCTGACCATCAATGTCGAAAATAGATCCATGAAATCCTGCAAAAGTCAGTCCGTTAATAATAGTCTATATTCAGACATTTTGCCTTTTTTTTATAAAAAAAAAAAATATTTTTCTTCCATGGATTGGAAGAGAGGATGAAGAGGCAAAAAACGAAAAGAAAAAAGAACGGATTTCGAAAAATCCTACCTTCGTAAAAGGACGATCATCTTCGGTCATACGCAATAGCCTTGAAGATGTTTGATGCATTTTTGATGGAATTACGGCTTGCGCCTGTTGCCCTACCAAAGATGGGACGTGTTGAAGGGTCTGACGGCGCCTTTCGACTTGTTCGGCCACAGCCGGAGAAATCGGGTTGAGGGGAGACTCAATGGGTGTGTTACTCAATTGCTCACTGCTCGTGCTGCTGTCCGATAATGGTGGAGTCAGCGGCGAGGCTCCTGCGGCTTCACTGACGCTGACTTGGGAAGGCTTGCGCGAGTGTTTCGACAAGCTTCCGGACGAGGCTGAAGAACGTAAAGTAGCGTTGGTGGTACCTCCAATGGCCGAGAGATTGGCAAAAGCGTTCGAAGTCTTTTCACGGGCCAAAGCAGCGAAAGATCGGCGGTTACGTCGCGAGATCGATCCAATTACAGATCCAGTGAAACCGGTAGTGCTGGTGAAGGTGGAAGGTCTTGTCGTGGGGGCAGCGACAGCAGCGGGGGTTGCGGGCGTGGGAATACAAGAGGCGGATGGGGGAGTAGAAGAAGAGAAGTCGTCCGGGGAGGAAGAGACCGGGACAGGTATGGGAGAAAGGGAAGATTGGGTAGGAAGACGGTGGTGAGAATGACGAAGATGTGAAGAGGGAGGAGATCCTTGGTCGAGGGGAATGGAAGATATGGTTGGCATTGAATAGTGCGAACCAGATAAGTGGGAGTAAGAGGGGGGAGGGTTTGTATGTATGTAAGTATGTATGTATGAAAAAAAAAAAAAAAAGGAGAAGAAAAAGAGAAAAAAAAAAAAAAAAAAAAAAAGGGAAGAAAAAAGAAAATAAAAAAATAAAAAATTATACAAATAAAAAAAAAATTTTGAAAATAAAAATAAAAAGTAAAATAAAATCAGGTGTGGAGGGGTGGGTGTTATGGATAAGGCAAAATAAAATAAAACTAGAAAAATAAAATCAAAATAAAAAGAAAATATTTATTCAAAAAGAAAAAAAGAAATGGCAAAAAAAAAGTTGGGCGGGGAATTTTCTTCTCTCTCTCTTTTCCCTTTTTTATTTTCCTTTCCTGGTCGGGGAGAAGCAAGTCGTTTTAGTCAGTAAACTGGATCCGGGATCAGCAACAACTTCCTGTTTTTAGCTGTTAATCCGTCTGTCCGTGTGTATCTTGTACCAAATGGAGTTCAGTTCCAGAAAAGAAGGGGAGAAAAGGGAAGAGAAATGAAAGTTTGAGGTGAGTAAGAAGCGATAACGGAGTCCCTAAGATGAGCACAGCAGAGGGCCTCCAGGGGTGTGAAGAATTCGGCCTGTCATTCTTGACCCACTGTGCACGCGGACGGTTTCATGCACCAGACAACGTGGGCCAAGGACGAAAGTGTGGATGGATCGTCCTTTGGGGCGATCAGAGAGGCCTCCCTTCCCTGCAGAGTCCGACATGAGTAGGTACTGTAGTAGTAAGGAATTCTTGCTTTTTGGGCGCCGCGTTCCGTACCATACCTGATGACGGCTACCGGATCTCGTTACCTACTGTTACCGCCTCCAGGGTTACTACGTGTCACAGTGTGTACAGTAATCTAATCTTAGTTACAGGTGCCCATCACGCCGAGCTTCGTTCTGTTTCTTTATTCTAGGTTTCTTTTAAAGCCCACGAGGAATCTAAATTTAATCTGATTTCTTTGTCATGGGACACGGGATTGCTTCCCCTATATATCATATAAATAACTCACGATGCAAGGTTATCCTGAATCGCTCGGCACAACAGCACCATTATACATAACATACTGTATGTATGTATCTACCTTACCTTATGGGCCTCTTGGTGATGGTAACATCAGTTTCACCTCTGTATTGATGTCACGACGATACCATGCCGTTACCTAGATAATACCCGACCGAATATGAGCAGGACTATGTCTGTTAATCACTTTCAACTTTCCGCTTAGAAGTGGGACTGTTCGCTACACTGCAAGCGTCGGATGATCAGCGGAATCTACGCCTGGGGGAGAGTTTCGGCCAGATCGCCTAATATTTTTTCCCTTCTTCTTCTTAACATATTACTATTAACAAAGTATTCAAAGCATAGGTATTTTCTTACAAAGAGGAGCAGCAGCCTTTAAAAAAGGTAAGGGAGTGGTAGTTTAGATGGAAAAACAAGTATTGGGCGTCATGAGATGCATGCACTAACAAGAGCAAGGAAGGTATGTACTACTAGTACTGCAGCGGGAGGACAACTCTTATGGGGACACTGACTTATCTAACCCCAGGTACCCAGCTATTGGTCTCTTCGACCGCTTTCCCTTAGGTTACACTTCTTCTCCCGATTTATTTGTTCCTCTTGGTCGCATATCATAATTTACCCTCCTTTTGTTCTGTTATGCTTGGGTCAGCCAGCCTCATCAATGTATAACGTGATCCGGCCCAATCCCCTGGACCTGTCCTGAAGGATCTCAGGACACAAGCCCAAGAGAAACGTGGCTCGTGCCGGGCACACCCTTACCAATTTTTCCTTTGTACGACCACCCGGCAACACCGAAACATGGACAAACACTGAACCACCGCCCAGTTGTCACGTTTTCAAACGAGAAGACAAATGAAAAACTAGGAAAAAGGCAAAAATACACCTTCCTACCTTGGAAAGCTCTGAATTCTGAACCCCACCAGATCCAGTAACGATCACCAGTCTTTGACTCATTGCCGGGAAATCCCCAACTGCTGTGAGCCAGTCAGAGTGCCGGGTCGCAAACACTCGCATGAAGGCTCTTACTTATTCTAGACTAGTCCAGACACTAGTACCTTAACACTTGTGAAAAGTGACCACCAGCCTATCGACGTTCTTTTTCGTAGGATGGCCCATCTTTTCGTCAATATTGCAAAGAGTGGGCCCGGGAAATACCTCCAGGCTCCAACACCATTCCTCCAGAAGTAAGGCTACGAAGGAGGAACCTTGGGAGGTCGCTGGAATCATCATCTTCCCAACGGCTATGGAGATTGTTGTTCCTTAAACCCTTTCCTTTCATCCCGTCCACGTGGGAAGAGCCTTCCCACCGAACAAAACCGCGCGTTTCCAAAGGGAAATCAAGCAATGGTTGGATGCAGATCAAGCGCCCGTCCCAGAGGATAGAGTAGTTACTATATAACTTGTTACTAAATGCCCCGGCATTCTTCTTTCATTATGAAGGAAGGAATCTGAGGGAAGGTATTTGATGATCTGTCAACTCACCACATGGCATTAAGTTTTTACTAGCTGCTTGGAGTATTGAGACTATTTACTGGCTTGCATATGGATTTGTTCTCCAATCTGATCGATCCAACCAGTAACCAGTCGTTGTTATTACGCTGTATTGCCTCAGTAGATTTCAATCGTGGGCCGACCGACATTGCCCGCGTCTAAACATATTAGCACAGCGGGTGTTGAGAAATGAGAGAGGGGAACCAAAAAAAAAATAAAAAATTAACAGGAAAAATAATAATAATAATAATAATAATAAAAGAAAAAGAAAACCACAAGGTAGATAGAGTGGAACAATTTCCTTCCCGTGTGGCTGAGTAGGGATGGATCTTTTTTGAAGTATTTGTGACCAGTCTTTCGTTTCCATGACTCTTCCAGATGTATTCTTTTTTCTCCTAACCGAGATCCATGCGGTCCACGTGGTCACACGTGGAGAAGGAATGGCGGGATGATTTTGGTTACTTGGATGGCTTGGCTACGTTGTCAGCCGCCGTTCATCCAGTCAATCTCGCAATCGATGGATACTCTCAGGGTTCATACTACGAGGTAGAGTTCAATAAATTTTTGACAGGTAAACGACGACCACTTAACTTTACCGTTATTCAATCTTGAAGGTTAATTGGTTACTGGAGAGCTCCAGTCGAGGAAGAAGCTCCTAGCCCCTACATAATTAGCAGCGTACGTACGGAATGACGTACATAACGGTTACAAGGAAACAGGACTCTATTCATACTTACATCCTGGGAACTAGGCAAGATCATTCTTAGCTTACTTAGTGAGGTCCATAATAAAATTGGCGACCGAAATGGATTAGCCCCCCTCCGAATCAGTTTGCCGCGTTGTGCGCGACAATCGGCTAGCTTCGCAATATCTTTCCAGTTAGATATATCACCAACACCTCTTTCATTATCACCGCCCAATGCATACTTACTGGTCGGCTCGTCTACTAAATTCCCGAATACTGGGAGCAAAAAGACTTGGGAACAGACCAATCAAACCAGCCACAAAAGTCTAAAAGTTGCCGTCTGGAGGGGATCGCACCCAGGATCTGAAACTCAAAGTGCCCTCCTGATTCCTGATTCCTTCCGACTCTCACATTCCCCTCCTCTGAGGCTCCTTTAGTCCAATGTCTGATCGCCAAATCTGACATGAGCTCTAATTCGGATATAATGTTGCTTGTTACCACCGAGGCCCGCGCAATAAGGTTTCCAACCATGCCCAATATCAGGTTTTCTTGGTTATCGCGAAGTTTGCCTTTCCATTGAACTCGCTCCCACAAAGATCCCGCAATGTGGACGCTATAGCGCGGGATTTGATAGGGGCCAAAGAATCAGAAGTGGTTCTCATTCTGGCGTACGCTCCGGATCCCTCGTTACGAGTCGATGGATATACGTATCCCGAATATTGACCGTGGATTCCACTTCTCGGGTCAACCCAGCGTCCTGAGGGCCGTCCCCACTCTTCTAGAAAAAGAATACGAAGCGGTGAGAGGGCCCTGGACCACAATGGCGCAATTCATCTGGGGCACATCTTTCGATTGAATTCCTCCAGGTATCAATCGGTATTCTTGGCATCCTTTGCAAAGTTGCGGTAAGACTGCAGAATTCCTGGTGTCTCTCAATCAAACAAGACCAACCCCAATCCTGAGGTGATCACGCGGACGTCCCGTGAGCATGTCGACGCCTCAACAAGACAACATCAAACAAGATCCGGAAACTGTCAGCTAGAGACTTTTTTTTTTTTTCTCTCGTGTTTCTATTAGTAAATATATGGAGTGGGTTTGATAATATTTTACGATCTCCTTTCCTCATATCCACCACTCTCAACCGAAATAGAACAAGGTGAGCCTCCCAAGAAGCAGTACTCCGTAGAGCTCACGTAGACATAGAGTTAAGAGTTGATATATACTATGCATCACCAATGCACCTACTACAGTACTACGACGACCGGCCTCAATCCTTCCCACTAACCACGACTAATGCCATGTAGCCCCTGCATAAGAGGTCCTCTCCCCTCCGTGTCATGGAACGAAGATCCCTGGCGGCCACGCGAGACAAAAATAACTGGGATTATCCCTCCTAAGCCGGTTGACAAACTTGAGTCTAGAATAATGACAGGTCAAATCAAGGATGATACCAATTCGACGATCCTGTTGGACGGAGGCAAGTTCCTCCGTGTGCCGGACATGCATACGGTTTGGCTGTGGAAACCAGAATAAGAGTCAGTAGTGTTGGGGATGTGGCTTGCAACCGAGTCAGGTATGATAAGGGCCTAGATGTCGCCAAGCAACAGCCACATTTATTCTTTTCTTTTCTTTTTTTTTTTTTTTTTTGTTTCTCTTCGTCTCGCAAGCTTCTTCACTAGTTAATGCATAGGAGATAAGTAATCACCCCATAAAGGTAGAGATCCATTTTGCTTCTTCTGTTTCTTCATCATCATCCCTCAGCTACCTACTAAACCACCTCTTGAGAAACCAAATCATAAAAAGACCAATCCTAGAATCCCACGCCCTAGAAACCTTCTTAATATAGAACATACATTAAAAACGCGGCTATCCGCATAACTAGGTACAGGAAGAACTACCTAGCACAGGATCAGAATCCTTCTAGATGTCCATCAGCTCGTATCCAGAACCCCCTTCATTAGACACATCAAACACCAAAGCAACCCCCATACACAGAGTACACCACAACCAGAAACCCAGAAACCAAGAGGATCAGACACAAAAAAAAGAAAATCCTCCGTGACGCAAAACACCCGAAAACGCACATCTTTCCTCGGAATCGGCTCAGCCCATTCATTCAGTCATTCATTCCCGCGGATTCGGGGATCCTCATGAAAGCATTTCGGTTCTTTTTTCCTATCTGTGGATCGCTATACATATAACTGTGTACTCCATATCTCTCTACTTACCCCAATACATATGTAGATTACTAAACAATAATGGAGCTAGGTATTGGGGTAAGTTAAGTAACTAAGTAACTAAGGTAACTAAGTAGGTAGTTCGCTGAGCTACTGGTATGTATCTAGGAAATTAGCACGTAGCTTGGCTCCATCGACACAAATGTTCCCATACACACTGGAGCAGCGCCAACTATGAAGAAACTTGTTACTAAGGACTTAGAAAGCAGGTCAACCGTTAACAGTTGACTAAACTACTATCGTCCTAAGGAGACCCAATGGGAAAAATGGAGATTCCAAAAAA